TACTTAAAAACGTACTGTGACATTTACCGGCTTTATTGTGAGTCATTGTCATCTGTTTCCAAGATATTTTCATAATTCCAGTAAGTTATTTTTACAAGTTACCTTGACTATTACTTTATTCTATATCAATAAAGTGTGTAAAGCATCAAATAGTTAAAAACTTTGGCAATTTTTTTTAATAAAATACCTACATAACCTTGCTATTGTTGGTTAAATAAGTCCTGTTGTATTTAAAAACATACATTCATTCAAGTTAAACTAAGATAATATCGTTAATATATAAATATGATGACTCGTAAGGCTCTGTCTCGTCAGGAGGAGTCTAAACTTCAACTGACTTTGAGAGAACTCAAAGCCTCTAAGGATTTATGCGACCAACTACACAAGGAACGGGATGACAATCAAACTATTTTTGTGCTGCAGAAGAGAGCTATTCGATCAATTTATAATCTTAAAGTTAAAGAATCATTAAGAGATAAGTTTAAGGAATTTGGAATAATGACGGTCGCATCACAATACATTTACGAAAATTTATTACCTGTAAGAAAAAATATTAATTTGTTTCTTAAAAACAGTGATGTTCACACAATTAATACAAGAAACAAAAATAAACTAACTTTACCTGCTACTAGGCTTCACAAAATTAATAATTCATTTAAAGCTCTCTGTGTTCGCTTATACAATAAAGTCCCAAGCAATATCCAAGAGTTAGCCATAAATAAATTTAAAGACATTATAAAAAAAACACTTATTAAAAAAGCTTATTACAAAGTGTCTGATTATATTACAGACAAAAATGCTTGGGTTTGAACTGTTCCAATCATTCCAACAGGTTTTCTATATTAAATAAATCATAATTGTATTGACGTTGTAACAACATAATGAATTGTAAATGTTGTTACATTAGACTTTTAATGTAGTGGAGTTTTTTTCGCTCGTTTTTCTCCGCAGCTAAAAAATATGTCCATAACGAGTGGTAGGGAAAAAAATTTTTGGACGATTCAAAAGAGTTGTACTATACATCCAATTTGAATAAAGATATATTGATTTCTGATTTCTGACTATGGAATGTGTTTATGTGTTGTGTTAATTTTTATTGTACGTGTTTTTTTCGAATGCTTTAGTGTATTATTTATTGGTTTTGACGCTATTTCTAAGTGCATGTCGACAATCATAATACCTGGCCATGACGACGTACAACTCATTCAGTGCCCTAAGTGCATACAACCCCGGTTTTTTAAAGGTAACCGGGGCTTAAAAATACACATTGGCAGGTCTCATAAATCCCCTGTATCTGTATCAGCAGTTCCTCCTCCTTCATCTCTAAATTCGGGCATTCAACCATTTTGGCAAAATTTTGGCAATGTAAAAAATTCATTTCCCGTCTTAAAAAGAATCCCCCGTTTTGCACGGCCTTCAGTCGCGGTTTCTTTATCGCAATGCTAGCTGCCACAGGGATGACAACTATTTCTAAAGTTGGCTTTGAGCATGTAAGTAATGTTCATGTTTATCTGTCGCTTGATATTTTGCCTAAATACATTTTATTTACTTATCTATATACAAAAAAATATTACCAAAACAAAGTTATAATTTTTATTATTTTTAAAGCATGTAACTGCTTGATGTTTAAATCTAAAGAATATTTTCTTTAGAATCAAAACAAAGTTCTCTAGACTTGGTTTATTGTAATGTCCCCTTGCATTATGTATAGAAGGCAAATATAACAATGTAAGTGAGGTGCTATAAATACAGGTTTAGGTGTTAAATTTGATTACATATAGATGATAGACTTTTTTCATATCCACAGTTAGAACAAGAGGCGGAATTGGTCTCCCAAAATGTTGACTCCAACCTTGAAGAAGAAGAGACCTATTTCTAGAAGGAGCCCTCTCCCCAACTTGATAAAGGTATGCTAGATTAATCATGTATTAACAATAACAGGTAAACTACATTTAATAATAAGTTTTATACAATATTTTTATATAGATAGCAAAGTAAATAAATAGGTTTTGCTGTTATAATGATTTTGCCATAATAGTTATAAATAAATATTTTTTTCACTCACACCAATAAAGCTCAACCCAAAGTAAGCACCTGTATGCTTGTGCTATGGGATAATAGGAGAAGAAATAGAAATATATATAAGGATACATTGATAAGTATGTTTTTGTAAAAAATAATATATACAGCCATGACTCGGGTACAAACGCTCATATTCACACAAACATTTGCACCTATCGGGATTCGAACCTGGGAGAGTAGTTGACATCTTGAAACCCGGTGTACAATAAAAACGGCAACACAAAGAAATAAAATATAATTTTATATAAATATTACAGGGGATGAAGATTGGAACCTTCCTGGCACCAGCCAAGCTCCAGCACCAACTCCACTAGAACCAGCTAAAAAATGGACCCAACCAGCCAAGAAGAGTAGGAATTTAAGAAATAAACGTTTAGAAGATGAGTTTTTAAAGGCCGAAAGGATAAAATGTATTATGAACTGGAAAAAGAGAAAATACGTCAGAGATTTTGAGCTCGAACTGCAAGCCAAACCCTCCTGCGTGGGTAGTCAGAAAGTAAAGTCATCTGTTTTATAAATATTACATGATTATTTAATTGAATAAGTACCTGTGGAGCTCCCACACAGCTGTTGTTATAATAATCCTTTACTTCTATCATCTGCTTCACTATATTCAAATTTTTAAACTGCAATAATAGAACACAATCTTCTTGAAAACATGAAAAATATCGAAAAACTTTTTGAATCGCATTTGCTTTAATATGAAGAGAAGCTGCAGAAGACGACAACTGGATCTCCTCTGCCCTGACCTCAACACTCTTGCAAGTGAGTTTCGTAACTTTAAGGCTATTATGTGGCAGGCATTGAAGTCTACAAGGTCGGAACTTGAGCTGCTTACTAACTCACATCCATGGTTTGCCAGAGAGCGAGAAGAGTGAATTGGTCTAGGAAGTTCAACAGTTATTCCGAAGTAAACTGAAATTGCCCGGTATCTCGAGTGATATGTTGCAGGTCTGCCACAGGCTTGGTGCTCCAGGTGTGAGGGTAAGACCTGTCCTTGTACGCTTCATCGACTATAGTCATAGACGTTTGGTCTGGGATAGCAAGACTGCACTTAAAGGTACTGGCATCACAATCTCGGAATTCCTTACTCGGCCCCGACATGGAATCTTTACTTCTGCTAGAAAGCACTTCGGGATCAAAGAACAGGTTATTTATAAAGACGTCTTTCACAGGTGTGCGACAGCGACGGACGGATTTTAAATATTAATGCAAGATTCGGTGGAGCCACACATGATGCATTTATTTGGGAGAATAGTGCCGTTAATACCTACATGCAAAGACTGTACCAAAATAATGAACAAACATGATTGCTAGCTGGGTTGCGCATTCCGCCTCACTTAATATAAAATTATTAAAACAATGTTTTAATTATATGTTTGTAATCAACCAGATAAATTAAATCAATAAAAAAACTTTAATTATAGGCAATTCTGGATATCCTCAAAGACCATGGCTGATGACACCCATTACCGATGCAGTTGACAATAGGCCCGAGGCTAAATACACCTCCATACATGGAAGAACATGGGCGATGATTGAAAATACCTTTGGGCGTTTGAAAAACCGATGGAGGTGTCTTAGCAAGGATCGAACATTGCATTATAAACCAGAAAAATGTGCTAGCATTATAACTGCATGCAGTGTGTTGCACTATCTGGCTATAAACTTTAACGTTCCTGATCCAGACTATGAGCAAGAGAGGATCGAAGATGTAATAACATCCGTGACACAAGTGGAAAGAACAGACAGTGCAAGGGACTTACTGAGCATAGGCAGAGCAATGAAACGTCAGTTAGTTGAAAGAATAAACAGATTACATTAAATTAAAATTATTTATTATACTTTTACTTAATAATTACAGTAGACAGGAAATAAATTTTATCACTTACCAATATTGAACTAATTTACAATTTTAATTATTTTTTACCTTAATAATAGCTTAGCTTTTATAGATCCCAGACAAACCTCTATCATAAAATTAATCATTAATCTCTACTTTTCTCTTCCATAAATTTCTTCAACACACTCAAAGCTCAAAACGGTATCTATTTATAAACTCTCTTTCGTTAAAAATATTATGGGCTTCAACACCTTCCTCAGTAAAGTTCGCTGATGAATTTCTCTGTTTAGACAAAATAAAAGATTATTTTAGTTACTAACCTACATTGTTTTGATAAAAATAGTATTATTTTGTAAGCTTTACAAAAAATTCAATAAAAAATTATTACCTTACTTACCTTTAGATTTCATCTTCTTCTTCTATTAAATTATTAAGTAAACACCAAAGGAGGTAATAACTACGTAAAGGACGGTTCGTTAATAACATTGACATGATTTTTAGACACTAAAACCTACCTTTTATCAATAAATTATTAAATTTATAGTCCAAAGCAATCTTAACGAGAATTCTGTCACTGTAAAATTCTCAGTGTAAAATACGATAGCTAGCTGTCGAAATAAACGATACGATCCGTCAAAAGTGTGTTCGTGCTCCCGTTTGCCATCCTTTACCTACCGTTAACTATACCATTACGATAACGATTACGAGACTAATAGGTTCGTGTTATTGAATTTTAGTTCCTTAAACGACCGTAACGGCGTTTATTTCGTTTTCATACAAAATAATACCATTACGATTACCATAACCAGATTGCGGTTCGTGCCAAGAGTACAGGAACACTTAAAAAACAAACATGAAATACCACTGGAGTTCCAGCCAAATAAAAATAGAGTGGTTCAAAATTCACTCTACGGTTTTACCAAAGATATGACATTGATGTCGTTTGGGCCTAAAAAGAATAAAGCGGTGACTTTGATATCTACTTGTCATAATAGCGCCAGCACCCATGAATTACAATCAAACCAAGGGCGGCGTGGCCGAGGTAGAAATAAATGTGCTTTGTGTTGAATTATTTGAAAACGCGTCGTTAACCACAAGTAGTCATTTATCGAATACTTGATATAGCTGGTATTAACACGTTTGTGATATATAGCGAGTGTCGATGGACAAAAATGAGAAAATGTGACTATTTAAAGCAATTGGCATGAATAATATTTTTTTAGAAAAATGTGCAATCGCCGTTCTTCTCAACGCTCTTGTGGATTTCCATGAGCATAATCCCGGTGTCGCTAGGGGTTTTCTAAGGACTTCACAGGGCAAACAAGAATGGAAAAGGAAGTGGGCCGAAATTGCAATCTCTGTAAATGCCATAAATAAGGACCCGGTTAGCCGAAGGTATTTTTTATGAAAATAATTTATCTTGCTTTAAATCGAATTCAAATAGACTTTTTTAACGCAAAACTTTATTTTTAGTACTGGGCAGAAAAAACTGCGGTCCCAAGAGGCTGTGTACACAACACACAGCTTCAATGAGGAAAACGGGTGAAGGAGCGGGTGAAAGATTGGTGTTGTCCGAGCTGGACAATAGACTTGTGGCTGTGATGGGTGGCCCAAGTTTTGCATCCGGCGACAGTCAGCTAGCTGTCAATCCGCTCCCAAATACGGTAGTGTATATTCTAAAAACAAAGTAGTCATTTTAATACTAATACACATATTCTCAAAAAAATACTATATTTTGTGACATTAATTTCAATACTTTTCCTTACCTACCACTCTGCAAATAATGTGATATTATCATTCGGGAGGGAGGAGATAATAGACGAAGAACTTTTACTGCCTCCTCTACTGCGCACTCCACACATCTAGGCAAGATACTTCTGCTGCCACTGGCACGGTACCATCTCCATCAAGTGAGTTATTTATTATATACCTTGCATATAAAATAATTGAATATGTACCTATATTGCGTTCCTCAATAAATTCTTTCAAAACCACAAGAGACATTTAATTCAAAGAGAGATCAAAACCACACAACACCTTCAAAACAGTACTATAAATATTACAAAACCAATTTAGAGACAATTGCTATTAAACTATTGACCGCTCCGGCAACTTCTGCTGCAGTAGAACGTTCGTTTTCAACCTTTTCAAATATACACACGAAAAAAAGGAATAAATTTTTTACGGAGCGGGCGGGCAAAATCAGTCTGATATCTCATAATTGGAAACTATTGAAAAGATTAAATAGAGACGATTTAAGAACAAATAAAACATTTGATCAAGAAATACCAAATACATCTTATGAAGGATCGTGAAGTGATTCTGAGACAGATTTTTTAATTTAGACTCTGATTCAGAAATATCTGTTGTCGAGAAGGAACCAGAAGTCGTCATGGAGATGAGTGATCATGAGGATGACGATCCATTACCTGAAATTTGTAAATATAGATACTAATCAGACCAATTAGACGAATTCTAGAAGATTCATTTTAATTTGTAATTTTATTAACTATTTACCTTTAAGTTCTGCTTGTTTCGTACTTTTTGTATCAGACAGTTACGTTTTTAATATATATTTAATAAATGTTGATTTATTTGATAAAAATGGAAATTTCAATAAATAAGTGTTAATTTAAACAGCTAAAATGTTTTTAAGTAATTACAATGTTGATTATGATATTTGGTATTTTATTACTTCTTACCATAACAATATTTATTATTTTCTACTAATAAATAAATACTTAAATCACTGACTTTTAAATAGAAAAGTCACAAAAACAACTTCGCGGCCGAGTTGATTTTTCCAATATATATATATTTATCATAAGTATAAAAATAACATTGAAAAATATAAAAGTTAAAAAATCATAATTAAATCACATAAAAGTCATGAAATATTTTCGAGAACATTCTCGTAGTCGGGAACTTACCGAGAATTTATATGAATAAATGGGTTTTATTAATCCAGTCTGCATATTACCATCTATTAGTCACATTGTTAATCCTACCGAAAAGTGACTTCACTTTTAAAGTTCTCATAAATTCTCGGTCTCAAGAATGTTCCCGATTCCCGAGAACTTAACCCGCAAAGTTTCAACATAGAGAATGTTCTCGCGAAATTAACAACACTAATTACAACATATTTCTATTAGTTCCCCACAGTAGCAATCAAACGAATGTTTGACTACAGTGTGTTGAATACATTGTATATTTAATAATACTGTGTCTCAGTATCCAGAACAGTATTCCATTATTCATGTTAAATACTATGTGCCACGCTTTCCTGTTGTTCGTGCTCCTAGATTAGGTTTTTGTTATGCTTGCGCCAATGCGTTTGTTCGTTATAAATTAGTTATTGAATATTACGAGTATGTTGCAAAAGATACCGATTGTTTCATGTCATGTTATTATTGTTCTTATTGCAATGTATCAAATTTTAGTAAATATTAATATGTGTAACTAAAACAATTCACTAAGACAATTAAGATTTAGATAATAAATATAACAATGTCATTTTATTTTAGTGATGAATTTGGCAAGGGCATGGGACCTCTTATCTAAAATGGGACATTCAATTATCAATCACTGTTTACCCAATGTTTCTTTATAAAGATATTTTAAGAAAGGCAATAAAACAAAATTACGATAAATGCACTACTTTGTTATTTTTTGTGGGAAATATATTTCATTGTGTGTCGAGGATATTTTTCTTTTTGGATCAAATGAGAAACTTATCTCAGACCTTAAGGCTATACTATATAAATAATTTAAAATGAAAGACATGGGACTCTCAGGTGGCCATCAACCGACTTTCGGTTTCTGACATTACCCCGATTTGCGGCACGCGACCGACTTTCGGTTTCGCGCGTAGCCACCTAATCTGTGGCAAATATTACTACCATTTTGTTTTGCTATCACCTTCATTCTTATACCAATGTGTAGGGGAAAAAACAGGCTAGCTATATAGCGCTTGATTACGTCAATCGTGATAAGTGAATTTACTGATTTTCTGATTTCTACAAAGAAATTCATCGTAATCATCATGCCTGGGTAAGTAAAATACATTTAGTTACTATATTTTCATGTTTCGTTTAGGTGTTTCCTTGAAATTAATTTTATATGAATTATTTTACTCACGATTTCGTAAGATAACCAACACAATGGCTGCTGCGATTACGATAATTTCGTAAATACCCTAATTGTAATGTTCTAAAATATTGAATACTTTATTCATGATCAATATTTCAAATACATAGAATCACGAGAGTTAGTATTTTTGAAGAATAAAAGATATTCCGAGCCATAAAAAATCCGTGCGGACTAACGGTCATTTTCGTTCAAAATACATGAAGCAAATATTTAAAATGGATGCGTCATCTGATGTACTATAGTAGACGCCGTGTGCCTCGACACGACTTTTTTTTATTTACCTTTCTTTCAAGTTATCATGATGATTACACCATCATCATCAGCCTATTAATGTCCCCACTGCTGGGGCACAGGCCTTCTCTGTGGATGGAATAGGGAGATTGGGCCATGACCCACCACTCGGGCTTAGTGCGGATTGGTGGATGCTTACGTCTGCAGTTGCAGCCGGGACCAACGGCTTAACGTGCCTTCCGAAGTAGGAGCTCGAGATAGTAAATTTTTGGTCACCCATCCAATGGCTGACCACTGCGAAAGTTGCTTGGCTTTTTTTTTATTTACTTTTCTTTCAAGACGTCAGCTGCTGCATCTCTTGCTTTTATTTAAAAGATTTATTTCTTTCTTTGCATGTAAGTATTTTTATTTGTTTTATGGTAAAAAGCAGTGAAAATGTTAACGAGGGGGGGCATGTGCGTGGTCGCGGACGAGCACGTACCCATGGTGGTGGAGCAAGTGGGCCACGTGGGGCACGAGGTGGGGCCACAAGCCGGCCACAAGTATTTCAAGAGTAATTTTTTTGCTTAGCTTTTGTTTTGTTTTTATTTGTATAAAATAGTTCAATAAATAAAAAGTGTATTGTTTTCAGCTTGAGAATTGGAAATATTTCCGAGCTCCATGCCGGCCCCTGGAAGCCACTGCACGCCAAAAGGCGGCGGACATTGCCCACGTCAAGCAGCTGCTCTTCGTAAGTAATTTATTAGAATTTTTAATTTTTATTTTTAACAATAATCTGCCTGGTTTGTAATTCTAACGAATTATTTTTAAATTATCTTTAGATGTATAAAGTATTTATATTGTATTAGTAATTTCAGTCATTCCGCCATGTCATACTGTGTTTCTTTTTTTTCTAGATCAACGTCTCCGCTCCGCAACCTCTTTCGTAAGAATAATCGTAATACATAATCGCTGTGATTTACTTACAACTTCATATATTTGCAATTATATTATGTTTTTATTTGTGCTCCAGGTCTACTTCAACTGCTCCGGACGTTGCTCCGGAACCCGCTCCGCAGCCTCTCCCGTAAGAAGCATAATCGCTGTGATTTACTTACAACTTCATATATTTGCAATTATATTATGTTTTTATTTGTGCTCCAGGTCTACTTCTTCGTTCAACTCCCCTGCCCACTCCGGTGCCAACTCGCCGGCCTGTGTCCCCTCTCCAGCATTGTAAGTTTGAATATTATTTATTCGTAACAGATTACAAAAGTATTCTAATGCATCAATGAGTGTGATGACGTTTTAACCTTTAAATTCATTTCTATTATAGGTTCGTGGAATGTGGTAATACACCCACATCGTCGTCGTCGAGGCAGAATCCTCGTCACGTACTAAGGGACGAGGAAATAGAGTCATTCCTCAATTATGGTACGATATAAGTAATTTTTAATTAAATGAAAGAATTTAGTGATATTATTATTGAGTGAATACGAATGTGGCATTTCTTGTTCTATCTGCAGGTAGTGAGGAGGAGGAAGATGAAGAATTTATTGATCTTCTGCCCTTCGACGACCAGCGTCCTATCATAGCAACAATAACAACCAGAGTGCGATTGGAGAACGAGGAGGACACGCCTTTCGAGCTGGAGGCAGCAGGGCAGGTGGAAGTAGTTGCGGACAGCGAGATGGCGGAGCTGTTAAGTCTGTTCGACTTCCGGTGGGTTATGTATGACGCGACCCCCATTTGCCGTCTCAAGGAGGGAGTCGTTTGTTGGACAATGAGGTCCTAAACGTGGTCCTATCGCAAGTGCTTACGAAGGACCTCTCGAGTCGGCGACACCATGAAACCCGGCGTACAAACCACTCGGCCACGAAGGTAGTCACAGTTCAGTTCTTTTTTCTTGAATTTTTAAAAGTGCATTTCTCTCTGGGCCAGCCTGTAGTAGCTTTAAATTTATTGAATATGGACTATAGCATTAGGGGTTATGTAATGACTGATGGTGCCCTCAGTCAGTGGACATCTAATGTTTACTATGCAGAGCTCACACTCATCTAACACGTTATAGATATCATCACCTCTTGAATTTGATAAAAGTTAATCAAATTCAATGTAAAGTGCATTCCAATCTCCCTTGAGCATGATTGGCCTAGACAATAAATTGATATCTGCTTAAATTTATGAATATGAAAACGATCATAGGCACATAATAATGTCAAATCATTAATATGCATTTATGAAAACAGAATTTCATCAGTTAGCACTATTAACTACCGTTGCTATCACGTTCTTCATATCTACCCTGCCTAAAAATATTTTTTGGTTAAAAAAATTGTAAGTAATATAAAAGATGTAAGGATATAGGAAATAAATTGAAAAATAATACTAAGCGAAAGGCAGCCAAAATAAGAGGAGCTGCCAGAGGTACTGGTGGTGGACCTGCATGTAAGCTGGTCATGACAGACTTGGAACAGCGAGTACTGGAATTGGTGGGAATCCTGGCTGCTACAGGTCTGCAAA